GGCATGTTTTGGAGAAGGGAATGTTTGCATAACTGAGTGGTGGTGTAGACTGGGTCGGTGGATTGTGTATCACTGTGTTAAGATTATTTACTCACAAGGAGTGCCTCTCCTGACATCTGGAGAATTATCCCTTCTCAGCTGTTGGCCTGTGAATGTTAATACTAGCATTCCACGTTTCCTATTGCTGTGTCTCTTACCACCGTGATGCTGAGAAAATAGAATGGGATTGGGAATCTGGGAACATTGTTTTGCAGTACCTTAAAACGTAGCAAAAATCTCCACCCCCATCGTTCAGCCTGGACACTGAGGTCCAGCTCCAAAGTCCGCCTGGCGGTTCCCTCCCTGCGAGAAGTGAAGCTACAGGCAACCAGGCAGAGGGCCTTCTCGGTGGTGGCGCCCACCCTGTGGAATGCCCTCCCATCAGATGTCAAGGAAATAAACAACTATCTAACTTTTAGAAGACATCTGAAGGCAGCCCTGTTTAGGGAAGTTTTTAATGTTTGATGTTTTATCGCATTTTTAATATTCTGCTGGGAGCGACCCAGAGTGGCTGGGGAAACCCAGCCAGATGGGCAAGGTATAAATCATCATCTCCTCCTCCTCCTCTTCTTCTTCTTCTTCTTCTTCTTCTTCTTCTTCTTCTTCTTCTTCTTCTTCTTCTTCTTCATTTGCCCCCCAGCCTTTTATTACCAAATCAGCCTTAAGGATTTAACATCTGGCGTTTTTGTGCAATAATTTGTAAAACTGGGCAGACCAGCATCAAGGTTTGCAAAGGACAAGAGAACTGTGCTTATCAATCGACCTGAGCTCTGCTTTTGACCTAGCGAACAGGGTCTTCCTTTGCAATACACTTGCACATGCTCTGTCAGTATCCAACTGAGACATGAGACCAGCTCCTAGGTGGTCTCAAACTATTGTTTTCCCGTAGAGCAGAAACCAACCTGTTGCTTTCCTGATGAATGTGAGAAGAGCCTACTGGATCACAGGCCAGTGGCCCATCTTGTCCAGCACCCAACCAGATGCCTACAGGAAACCTGCAAGCAGGATTTGACCCCAAGAGCCCTCTCCTGTCCTGTAGTTTCCAGCAACTGGTATTCAGAAACATTGAAGGCAGAGCATAGCCATTTTGACTAGCAGCCATCAATAGCCCTTGTGCCTCCAGGAATTTGTCTAATCCTCCAGATGTTTTGGTCCACAGCTCCCATCCCATCATATGGTCCCACTGGCTGGGGCTGATGGGACTTGTAGTCCAAAACTGTTTGGTAAAGGCTGCTGAAAGAGTAGGGCAGAGCTTTTCATGCTGGTGACACACTTTTTAAGACGTGCATCATTTCGTAACACAGTAATTCAATTTTACTAGCAAAGCAGAGGTTAAACTACCGTAACTCCTTTCCAGCCCCAGGAGGAACGCAGAGAGCGTTCTTCTGACACATCTACACACTGCAGCCGACACACTAACGCAGGGGTCAGCAAACTTTTTTAGCAGGGGGCCGGTCCACTGTCCCTCAGACCTTGTGGGGGGTTGGACTATATTTTTTGGGGGGGAAATATGAACGAATTCCTATGCCCCACAAATAACCCAGAGATGCATTTTCAAGAAAAGGACACATTCTACTCATGGAAAAACACCAGGCAGGCCCCACAAATAACCCAGAGATGCATTTTAAATAAAAGGACACATTCTACTCATGTAAAAACACGCTGATTCCCGGACCGTCCGAGGGCTGGATTGAGAAGGCAATTGGGTTGGATCTGGCCCCCGGGCCTTAGTTTGCCTACCCATGCACTAATGTGTCACAACACACAGCTTGGAAAGCTCCGGAGTAAGAGGTGTGTGTGTGTGCATGTGCATGCATTTGGGAACTGACTAACAAAATCTGAAGAGCTGGAGGAGGTAGGAATGCCTTTTCTGTCTCCACATGAATCACATAATCAAAAAGGGCTTTCATTCCTGCCCTCCCATCTTCTCTTGAAGATAACTGATATATGCCGATAGTATTAACTGCATGCTTTTCTCACACATGTGGCTCAGAGTCATAGACTGAAGAAACAACCTGGGACTTCATGCGCAAAGGGAACCCCACACCTTGAAGCGGAAGGTGCGCCTGTTTGTCGAGTCCTTCATGCCGCCTGTGTTGCCATGGATGGCTTTGCCGTAGAACAAGCGAAAAGTTTTCGATTGATTTCTTAGTATATTGTTCCACAACAGCTTCAAGATCAGCACATCTGATCTTAAAACTTGTCTGGGGGCAAGGAAGGGACTTTAGAAGTTCCAACTTAAAATACTCTATATTATTCCTTATTACAGTGGTACCTTGGGTTAAGTACTTAATTCGTTCCGGAGGTCCGTTCTTAACCTGAAACTGTTCTTAACCTGAAGCACCACTTTAGCTAATGGGGCCTCCTGCTGCCGCCGGAGCACGATTTCTGTTCTCATCCTGAAGCAAAGTTCTTAACCCGAGGTACTATTTCTGGGTTAGCGGAGTCTGTAACCTGAAGCGTATGTAACCCGAGGTACCACTGTACTACCTTTTAAACCATCCCAGTGTGGCATAAATGATCTCTCCATCATCATTAACCCCCCCCCCAATTTTATACTTACACCAACCCTGTAAAGTTGGCCAGAGAGTGATTGGCCTAAGGTCATGCAGGGAACTTCAAGGCTGAGATTTGAAACTGCCCGTCCGTGGTCCTGGTCTGATGAGTAAAAAAAGAAACACCATACTGGCAAAATGTATGTCTCTGAAGCGTAGATATTTGAAGATCTGGGAATAATCCTGAATCCTTTTTGACCCAACGTTTTACCACGTCATCAAGCACTATGCTATGTGCTGAAGTGAGGCTACATTTAAACAGGTCCAAAATGTTTCACATAACAGCTATTTTAAGAAGAGTCGCCAGACAACCAGTTTGGACACAGTTGCAATATGGAGTGGTTTGCCTACATGCCTGTGAACATTCGCTAGAAATAATAATAATAACAACCTTTTGTTGCTGAAGAATTTGAGGCTACCAATAAATCAGAGGATCTATTTGAGAGGCACTAAGAGAAGAATAGGTGAATCATCCAGCAGACTTCTGTTCCATCACAATAGTGTGTTAATAAAAAGCATCCTAGAGTCTCAGGTGTATTTTGCTTAACTTACCTTTGCTCCTCTGAGAAGGTAATTTACCAAACCCAGTTCCCAAACCCTGTAGAAGGTAGATTAGGAACATCAAATAAATCAATGCAGGCAAAACTCTATAGATTATAATGGGCATTCTTATACTGCCAGTTAAAGAAGGACCCTAAAAGAGATTTATTTATGATACTACTACTTAGAAATCTCTCTGGAATAACAGATCCTGTCAGGATTATTGATTTGCTAGCAGATACTGATAAAACACATGATCTGTAAAACAGCTTTCTTTGCTAGAAAAAAAGAAAGTCCACCACTCTGAATAGACTCTAGAGATATTGTGTTAAGATCTTTTAAAAACAAGAAAACCCCAAAACTCATTTGTACGTATTATGAATCTCGGATTTGTTTGTGAAATCCTAACTGGGTGTCCCCCCCTTTTTTGCTATGATCTTTGTTTTTTTGGTGTGTTTTTTAAGCAAACAAAACTGACTGAGAAGGAAATCTTACACAGATTTCCATGGGAGTAAGTCCCAATTCTGACTGAGTAAGATTCACTACTGAGTATAGTTTACACGTATGAGTGGTGGCTTTTCCACACACGCCAGATAGGCAACATAGGGATTTATGTGTGTGTGCTTCCTGTAACAACAAACACAAATGCATCCATTCCTGTGGCACCTTCAACAACTGATAGATTCATCGTGGCACCTGCTGCAGAGTCTTCTTCATCGGTCGCGTGAAGCTAATCTGTTCTTTCAGTTACTTGGTAAATTACTGCAGTCCTGGGCTGCCGCAGCTGCTCTGAACTTGCACACTTCTGAACTCGGCACAGAAGTATCACACACAGGCACTACTTGCACTGCATGGCCCGATTACAATATTTGCGTGAACAGATCTGCTAAGAATTATGTCACAGCACAAATCGGTTAAGTTTTCAAGTTGCTAGAAAGACTCTGCTTTGTATAGCCAATAGAGAGTTGCATTACTGGTAAACACACAAGCAGAGCTTAACTACAACCAACTCCCAATGGATTGCATTTAGGGTACTCTACCCCTCGCCTATTCCCCAAAAGAGACCCCCGTGTTGAACTTTCGGCGACATCTAGATTTATTTGCTGAAATTAATTTGAAGACAGAAATGATAAGCTCCATAGGCTGACATCTCCCGATCTCTTTGCCTAGGAGAGTCAAATGCGGATGACTTTCAGAAAGGTGTTAAATAAAGCCCCATTTTTTAAAAACCCAAGTGCATTTTTTTTTTTACTCATCCGTCCAAACCGGCCCTCTTCGAATAATCCCAATCCCTTCCCATCACTCTGTCGCTCATTTTCTGGGGCCGGCGTTGCAATCATGCCTTATAGCAATTTAACCCGAAGCTCGTTGTCAGATGTGTTACTTGACTCGGTGAAAGAAGCGGCTGCCGCGAAGTTCCCGGCCGAAAAGTCTTCCTTTCTTCACCGCCCGGGTGCAGACCCCCCAGGCTATCTTATGCCGGACCTCCCGCGCCCGCTTCTTAAAAGCAGCATTTGCTATTTTCGTCGAAAAGCAAAAGTTTGCAAATTTTCAGGCCGGGAGAGCGAGCCGAGGCTGAGTTCCCCGCTCTTTTCCGGAGGAGCCCTGCCACCCCGGAGCGTGAAAACCAGGTCCCCGAAAGCCCGCATCCTCCCCTTCGATCCAGCCTGGAACGGGAGGGATCCGCGGACGGGACTCGGAGTAATCGACTCTTTTGTGCGGGTTAAGAAACACAAAAGTTGCCCGGACCAGGAGCCCAGGTCTGGCTGTCAAAGCGCCGTGCTCGGAACGCACCAATCAGCGCGCAGCTCCTCCCCTATAAATACGAGGCAGCGCCGCCGCCGCGTCCATTCAGCTTCTGCTTTGGTGACTCGACGGTGTGCTCGGGGGGCGGTATAGTTTCGGATCAGGATGACTGAAGAGGTTCCCGCCGCGCCCGTCGCCGCGCTGCCGGCTGTCAAGGCTCCGGCCAAGAAGGCCAAGAAGGCGGCGGCCGCCGCCCCGAAGGCCCGCAAGGCCTCGGGCCCCAGCGTGACGGAGCTGCTGACCCAGGCGGTGACGGCGTCCAAGGAGCGCGGCGGCGTCTCCCTGGCGGCGCTGAAGAAGTCGCTGGCGGCCGCCGGCTACGACGTGGAGCGGAACAACAGCCGCATCAAGCTGGGCCTGAAGAGCCTGGTGACCCGGGGGATCCTGCTGCAGACCAAGGGCACGGGCGCCTCCGGCTCCTTCAAGCTCAATAAGAAGCAGGCGGACAACAAGGACAAGGCGCCCAAGAAGAAGCCGGCGGCGGCGGCCGCGAAAAGCAAAAAGCCCGCGGCCAAGAAGCCCGCCAGCGCCGCCAAGAAGGTGAAGAAGGCAGCCGCCACCAAGAAGGGCGTCAAGAAGCCGGCCAAGAAGCCCGCGGCAGGCGCCAGGAAGGCCGCCAAGAGCCCCAAGAAGCCCAAGGCGGCGGCGGCCAAAAGCAAGAAGGCCAAGAGCCCCGCCAAGGCGAAGGCAGCCAAGCCCAAAGCGAAGCCCAAGACCCCCAAGGCGAAAGTCGCCAAGCCCAAGAAGGCGGCGCCGAAAAAGAAGTAGGAAGGACCCGCTCGGCTTCCGCGAGAGGCAGCAGCGCTCCTCGTTAACCCCAAAGGCTCTTTTAAGAGCCACCCACAAATTCAAAGAAAGTGCTGAATTTCCTTTGCCATGTGAGGCGCTTCGATCATGTGATGCGAGTGCCGCAGTTGTAGAATCTTAGTTGGTCCTATCCCTTGCACAGTCCCCCCTCCAATTCGAAACCACGCCGCACCCGGCTGAGCAAATGTGTGGTAGTAACGTGATTGCTGCAATTCTAGGCTTTCCTTTATCGGGTATCCTGTTGCTCATTTCCCCCCGCCGGCTTTTTTATCCGTGCTAAGTCCTTGACATTAATGTTTCTGCAACTTTGTTTTACGTGGGGGAGGGGGAGGAAGACACGTGGCAATGTGGGTGGGGAGAAAGCAAGTGGTTGCTGCCATGTTTTTAGGCGGGAGGGGGAGGGTAAAAATGGATATGCTTTCCCTTAGTGAAAGAATGCTACCTCAGGGCCTCCTAAAAAGGGGGTAAAGTCGCTGAAGGAGGGTACAAGTCGAAGGGGCAAGATGCATGTGAGACGGCTGTAAATTGCACAGAAGTACCACGCCGCCGTGTCCTTTTAACATTCCCAGCAACTGGTGCTTAATGCACAATACCGAACTAGCAATTGAACATAATATTGCAGTAATTAACAGCTTTTTAAGGTTATGTGGTGGCTCTTAAAAGAGCCTTTGGGTTTTTGAACGTAGGAGGCCCCTACTTTGACAACGAATATCTTAAGCCCTTTCTCCGCGGATGCGGCGAGCCAGCTGGATGTCTTTGGGCATGATGGTGACCCGCTTGGCATGGATGGCGCACAGGTTGGTATCTTCGAAAAGACCCACCAGGTAAGCCTCGCTCGCCTCCTGAAGGGCCATCACCGCAGAGCTCTGGAAGCGCAGGTCTGTCTTGAAATCCTGCGCGATCTCCCGCACCAGACGCTGGAAGGGCAGCTTGCGAATCAGCAGCTCAGTGGACTTCTGGTAGCGACGGATCTCTCGCAGGGCGACAGTCCCAGGGCGGTAGCGGTGAGGCTTCTTCACGCCCCCGGTGGCCGGGGCGCTCTTCCGGGCGGCTTTGGTCGCCAGCTGCTTCCGAGGCGCCTTCCCGCCGGTGGACTTGCGAGCGGTCTGCTTGGTACGAGCCATGGCAAACGAAGCAAAGGACTCCCTTCAGCAAATGAGACAAAGAGCCCGGTTGCTGGTTATTTATAGACCGCTCTCGCAGTCTTGATTGGCTGAAGACTGAGCATTGTCAGTTGGAAAGTTTGAATTTCCTGGGCTGAACAGCAATTGGCTAGACAAGATCACGCAAGAGGGCTAAGTGGGGCGGGGCCACAGCCTGGGTTTTTTTCCCCCGCCAGGACTCTCATTGAGCAGCTGCAAAAGAAGTGCATTTGATTGGACGAAATTGAGACAGAATTCTGCAACGCGCAAAAGTATGCCTAGGTTTTCCTTCTGGTCGGACATTTCTGTATATAAGCAGAGGGAGCCCTCCTTTACGCTGCATTTTGTTTCTTGTGTCGTTGTTTGAAGGTTGTTTGGCAAGTATGTCTGGTCGTGGGAAAGGCGGGAAAGGTTTGGGAAAGGGAGGCGCCAAGAGGCATCGCAAGGTGCTTCGTGACAACATCCAGGGCATCACGAAGCCTGCAATCCGCCGCCTGGCTCGCCGTGGCGGAGTCAAGCGCATTTCGGGCTTGATCTACGAGGAGACCCGCGGCGTCTTGAAGGTCTTTCTGGAAAATGTCATCCGCGACGCTGTGACTTACACCGAGCATGCCAAGAGGAAGACTGTGACTGCCATGGATGTCGTGTACGCTCTGAAGCGCCAGGGTCGTACTCTGTACGGCTTTGGTGGTTAATTCTAAATATCAAGGCTGCATCTTAAAGCCAAAGGCCCTTTTAAGGGCCGCCCACCTTTTCATGAAAAGAGATTACTTTCGCTTATTATTTTTTTTATGGGTATACTTAATTCAAAACTTTATAGACAGTGGTTTTTGTTACCAGTAATCTGGGCCGCACTTGCAGAATATTTACTATTTGTATAACAATAAGTATTTTGGTAGTAAGTCTACATATTCCAGAAATATTTTGTGTGTGGTATACTATACTACGCTGAAATGTTTAAGGGTTCGTTTCTCCGATCTTCCCGCTAGATTCCCATTCTCTAGCCATACTACTAACAGCCTTTGAGAACCCCTGCCTTACAATAGCGCCTGTATTTAAATATAGGCACGTACATGTGTTATTTGGGCGAGGGGTGGAGACGCCAACCTTGAGATCCTTAGTAGAATGAATTATGGGAACAGGAAGGCATACCGAGCGCATGGGCTTAGCCAGAATTTTGTTTGGGGGACGTGCAGGCTTTTAAGATGGCAGCAGCGAGTGCAGTACTTTTAAATTCTCAATATAGCGTTCTCAGAAATCCAGTTTGAAACTTTCCGCAATATAAACTCAGCTCTCTTATGACAGGGTGGACGGCTCTGAAAAGAGCCTTTGTGAAGTCCAGACGCCGCGGTCTGATTTTTACTGGGCCTTCACTTTGTGATCTTGGGCAGGACGCCGCCCTGGGGGACGGTGCCTTTGGCCAGCAGCTTGTTCAGCTCCTGGTCGTTGCGGATGGCCAGCTGCAGGTGCCGAGGGATGATGCGCGCCTTCATGTTGTCCCGCGCCGCGTTGCCGGCCAGCTCCAGGATCTCGGCAGTCAGGTACTCCAGCACCGCCGCCGTGTAGACAGGGGCTCCGGCTCCCACGCGCTTCGCGTAGTGCCCTTTGCGAAGCAGGCGGTGCACTCGACCCACAGGGAACTGCAAGCCCGCCCTGGACGAGCGAGACTTCGCCTTGCCCTTGATTTTGCCGCCCTGCTTTCCACGGTCAGACATCGTACAGCTAAATCCACAAGGAACTACAACAACGAAGAGCAGAATGAGAAACACAATTTTGCAAGCCGCCTATTTATTTACTCCTGATGGATTCTTTCTGTCAAATCTGATTGGGTGAAAGAGAGATAGGACGTGCTTAGCACCCAATGAGAATGTGTCTTCTTGCAACCAACCAGAAAGTTACATTTAAATTACGTATATGCTTGCGCGAGCCAATAGAAATGTCACATGGGGCGAGTTTATATTTGCATGTTCTGCTTTAAAAAAAAGGGGGTGTTACGTCATTGCTCTTTCGTCTGAGAAATAAACGATGGTGACCATATTGTTGTTGTTGTTTAGTCGTTATCATATTAGATCGTGTTAAAAAACGAAAAGGAATACCTTTGATTGGTGTTTTTTCTTAACGTGACAAACTATGACCAGTACTTACATTCAGAGCACAATATAAAATTAAAGTCAAAAAAGCAAACTACATTCTCTTTTGTCTCTGCACGCGTGTAAATAAGGTATTGCGAAAGGCATGTGTTCCTGTACTTCTGCCACGGAAGCGAAAGCTGGTAGCGTAAAAGGAGACCAGAACGTCCTTCATCGAGGCAGCACCAAATGCCATATTGTTATTTTTTTTTAATGTATAGATTCAGGCTGATCGTTATCCTCATTTAATTGCAATGAAAGACGCCAGATGGATCAGATAACTATTGGGATCCCTTACAACTCTACAATTTTATAATTCTAATGCGACATAAACCTCTGAATTTTACAGTATGCTTTTCTAATTCCTGCTCTTCACAAATTTGCAAATGTTACGATAAGAGTTTTCAGGTTCTGTTTTACTCTTTTCCCCGCCTGTACGCTACTATTTTGTTTTTCCATTCTGTTCTGCACCATTTCCAGATTACAGTACTGTACAGTACTTAGTATCACCGGACAGAATCATAATTTTGTAAATTATGAAACGTGTCTATAACTCTCCCGGCTGCACTATCCTCCCCAAATCAAAGGCACATATCCGTTTGAGGAGAAAGATCTGTTTTGATTGGAGAATTTAAAATGCCCAGAAGCTGATTGGTGGAAAGTATAGCCTATAGCGTTATGGAGTTTGGAAAGAGGGCGTGGCTCAGTCAAAGGCTAGCATTTGCCCTTTCAGTCTTCCCTCTGGTCGGACTTTGCTTTATAAAAGAAGCTGCAGCGCTACTCTTCGCTTACTTCATTCTTCAATCGCACCGAGTGTTATCTTGTTACCATGTCTGGTCGTGGAAAAGGCGGGAAAGGTTTGGGCAAGGGAGGCGCCAAGAGGCATCGCAAGGTGCTTCGTGACAATATCCAAGGTATCACGAAGCCTGCAATCCGCCGCCTGGCTCGCCGTGGCGGAGTCAAGCGCATTTCGGGCTTGATCTACGAGGAGACCCGCGGTGTCCTGAAGGTCTTTCTGGAAAATGTCATCCGGGATGCCGTGACTTACACTGAGCATGCCAAGAGGAAGACTGTGACCGCCATGGATGTCGTGTACGCTCTGAAGCGCCAGGGTCGTACTCTGTACGGCTTCGGTGGCTAATCAGGATATCAAGATTATATTACAAACGAGCTCAAAGGCCCTTTTAAGGGCCGCCCACCTTTTCATGAAAAGAGCTGACGCAGTTTGGGTTGCTAAAAGGTTTTTTTGCTTAGGTAACCTTGGTTATCTGAAATATATGAGCCACTTTGGAAAGCGCAATATCGCATCTAAACGGGTGGGATTGTACCAGACGTGCTCAGTAATGAAGTGAGGCGATTTAAATAAATGCTGGGAAGAGCCTGCGGAGGGGCAGGGGGGTTTCGCTGCTCAAAGGAAAAAGGAAAAACGTGAGATGATTGCAGCCAAATCTTGCTTTCTATATACTGTACTCACCTTTAGCTTCCGAGAGCCGGCGCTGATTGGATGAGAATGGAACTCGCTCACCAATGAAGACGTGGCTTTATCGCCCTAGCCAATCAGAATGCTGATTCCGGAAATAACCAATAAGGTCCCCCCTAAAAAAACCTCTATGGAGGTTTTTAAGCAGAGGTTGAATGACCATATGTCATGAATGATCTAGCTGAGATTCCAGCATTGCAGGGGGTCAGACTAGATGACTCTCGGGGGTTCCAGATGTCAAAGAGAAAAAGAACTACCAGACTGTTAGAAGACATCTGAAGGCAGCCCTGTTTAGGGAAGTTTTAATGTTTAATAGATTATTGAATTTTAATATTCTGTTGGAAGCTGCCCAGAGCAGCCGGGGAAACCCAGCCAGATTGGCGGGGTATAATTAATAAATTATTATTATTATTATTATTATTATTATTATTATTATTATTATTATTATTATTCCTTCCAAATCTACAATTCTGTGATTCTGTGAAATGGCTAGCTTAGCTCCTGGAAACGGAATAATGAAGGCTGCCATTCCAGCAATGGGGAAACGGAGGAGCAGAGCTCACTTGAATGGCTCTGCAGCGACAGGCCTCCTCTCCCTCAAATGTCATTAAGGGTTAAACCACAGAGCCAAGGACTTGCTGATCAGAAGGTCGGCGGTTCGAATCCCCGCAATGGGGTGAGCTCCCGTTGCTCGGTCCCTGCTCCTGCCAACCTAGCAGTTCAAAAGCACGTCAAAGTGCAAGTAGATAAATAGGTACCACTCCGGCGGGAAGGTAAACAGCGTTTCCATGTGCTGCTCTGGTTCGCCAGAAGCGGCTTAGTCCTGCTAGCCACATGACCCGGAAGCTGTATGCCGGCTCCCTCGGTCAATAAAGCGAGATGAGCGCCGCACCCCAGAGTCGGCCACGACTGGACCTAATGGTCAGGGGTCCCCTTTACCCCCTTTACCTCAGTGGCAGAGATAGGAAGCAGAGATCATTACATCCACTTAGCCTAAGGCCCCAGCTACTGCCTCTGAACTATGCCTGCTGGTCAGGAGGAGTCTCAAATATATGGTCTCCCAAGCCCACAATCCCAGCATGTTCGCACTCCTGTCTCAGCGACTTTTATTTATTTTATTATCAGTTTAATGTCTGGTGCTGGAGGAGACTCTTGAGAGTCCCATGGACTGCAAGAAGATCAAACCCCTCCATTCTGAAGGAAATCAGCCCTGAGTGCTCACTGGAAGGACAGATCCTGAAGCTGAGGCTCCAAGACTTTGGCCACCGCATGAGAAGAGAAGACTCCCTGGAAAAGACCCTGATGTTGGGAAAGATGGAGGGCACAAGGAGAAGGGGACGACAGAGGACGAGATGGTGGGACAGTGTTCTCGAAGCTACCAGCATGAGTTTGACCAAACTGCGGGAGGCAGTGGAAGACAGGAGTGCCTGGCGTGCTCTGGTCCAGGGGGTCACGAAGAGTCGGACACAACTAAACGACTAAACAACAACAACGTCTCAGTGACTTCTATGCTGGCTTGGTGGTGTCCACAGAACTGAAGAGGGCAGGATCCTCAAGAATGTGCTCTGTGGGGAGCTGGCTTCAGGCACCAAGTCCATTGGCAGACCAACTCTGCATTACAAAGATGTCTGCAAGGTTGACATGAAGTTTGGCGATATCAACCCCACCGTGTGGGAATCCGTTGCAGACAACCACTGGGTCTGGAGATAGTCTTGTTGTGCATCCATAGCAGTGACCACAGAAGGAATGTTTAGGGAAGCTTTTAATGTTTAATAGGTTATTGTATTTTAGTGTTTTGTTGGAAGCTGCCCAGAGTGGCTGGGGAAACCCAGCCAGATGGGCGGGGTATAAATAATAAATTATTATTATTATTATTAGGAATGACTGCAGTGAGACGAAACGCCATTGCACATCAGCAGCAGCAAAACTGGATGCCTTCATCTGCCCCAGCAGCAACCTTCAAACAGTTCGATTTCATCAGCAACAGTGCTCTCCTCCATCGTCTCCCAAGACAGACAGATGCCAGCAACAGGCCAATATGGGAACAACTATCTAGAAATTGGTGCCTGAGTTTATTCTCCTCTTCCCTCCTTGTTCCTTTTTCCTTGTGTGTTGTGTGATTTTTTTAAAAAAATGGGTCTGTTTGCTTATTTATTAGAATGTAAGCATGCAGGTAGCAAATGTCTTGTTTTGATTCAAATAAGCCAGTCTGGGAGCCTTTTTTGGCTGAAGAGCAGGGGACAAATGCTCTAAATAAGTAAACAAATAGAGATGACCCATTTCAAATCCTTGCGTTTATTTTTAATTCCATCTTTGCCAACCCCTCCACCCCCAAGCTACCCCCGCCCCGGGGTCGTACGCAACAGCTGCCCATAGCCTACAGGGGATGGTGTTGAAACCTGTATTTTTTAAATAGTTTTATTTATTTATTAACGTTCTTATGTTACATTGGTAAACATTGTCATATTACATCACAAGGCTTATTATAATATAATTTTCAGCATGTATACAAAGTTTATATACAAAGTTTATATACCCGTTGTTTGGTCCCAGCTCCTGTCAACCTAGCAGTTCGAAAGCACTGCAAAGTGCAAGTAGATAAATAGGGACCGCTCCCCGGCGGGAAGGTAAACGGCGTTTCCGTGCGCTGCTCTGGTTTGCCAGAAGCGGCTTAGTCCTGCTGGCCACATGACCCGGAAGCTGTCTGCGGACAAGCGCCGGTTCCCGGCCTATAAAGCGAGATGAGCGCGCAACCCCAGAGTCGGTCACGACTGGACCTGATGGTCAGGGGTACCTTTACCTTTACCTTTATATACCTAAAGAAAAGAAACAAGGACAAAAATCAAAGGAGCTTGTGGTGGACTTCAGGAGACAGAAGAGCAATGTCCAGCCACCTTTGATTGATGGGGTCTGTGTGGAGAGGGTAACAACGTTCAGATTTTTGGGCATTGAATTACAAGAGGATCTGTCCTGGAGTGTCAACACAAGGGGGCTTGTGAAGAAGGCGCAGCAGAGACTGTACTTTTTGAGAATTCTAAGGAAAAACCATCTTCCGCAGAAACTGCTGCTTGCCTTCTATCACTGTGCCATTGAGAGCGTGCTCACTTATGGCTTATGTGTGTGGTACGGAAGCTGTACTACCCAGGACAGGATGGGGTTGTGCAGAGTTGTTAAGGCAGCAGAGAGCATTGTTGGCTGCCCACTCTCCACCTTAGAGCAGATTTATGCCACAAGGTGCCATAGGAAGGCACTGGACATAGTAAAAGATCCATCGCATCCTGGTCACTGTCTCTTCGAGCTCCTGCCGTCGGGACGGAGATACAGGACGATGAAGACAAGAACGAGCCGTCTTAAGAACAGCTTCATCTCCAGAGCGATCTCGGCCCTGAATGGGAAGCCTGGACTTTGAAAGTCATCTAATCTTTTTTGCTGTACTATATTGTATTGTTTTAATTAGTGTTTTTATGGAGCAATCAAGTAATTTCATTGTCCCCGAGAGGGGGTAATGACAATAAAGATATTATTATTATTATTATTATTATTATTATTATTATTTCAAAATCATATACAGTGGTACCTCAGGTTAAGTACTTAATTCGTTCCGGAGGTCCGTACTTAACCTGAAACTGTTCTTAACCAGAAGCACCACTTTAGCTAATGGGGCCTCCTGCTGCTGCCACGCCACTGGAGCACAATTTCTGTTCTCATCCTGAAGCAAAGTTCTTAACCTGAAGCACTATTTCTGGGTTAGTGGAGTCTGTAACCTGAAGCGTATGTAACCCGAGGTACCACTGTATGTACCAACACTTTGGACTTCCTGTCTATCCTATTGTATATTCCTTTTTTAACAAATGAATGTACTCTTATTATTGTATATTTCTTTCCATTTTATCCAATACATTCCTATACCAATATGTACTCTTGGTCTTATTTCTCAACTCAGTCTCTCTCCAATGTCAATCGAATGCTAGCATAGATAGCGAACCTTTACTGTATTTTTGAACATATATCTTATATCTATCCCACTTTTCCATAATTTTTTGTTTTGAATTGCTTCTCAGGCTATTTGTCAACTGCGCCATTTCAGCAAATTCTTGTAGCTTGTTATGCCAATCTGTTATTGTTGGGACTTCTTCTTCCTTCCACCCCTGTCTGAGCTGCAGGCGTTGCATGAATCCTGTATTTGAATTAGGTGTAATTCAAAGGAAGTCTGTCCCTTGTTCAGAAAAAGTAGCAGCCGTTGTAGACTCCCTGTGTTTTAGCCACAACACCTCCACTCCCACCGCAAAATATTGTGGAAGGTTTGGCTGAAACAGAAGCGACTGCAACAGCCCTACAATGTCATCTACCTTAAGTGTCCAGAGGAGGGCAACCAAAATGGTCAAAGGCCTGGAAACGATGCCTTATGAGGAACGGCTAAGGGAGCTGGGCATGTTTAGCCTGGAGAAGAGGAGGTTAAGGGGTGATATGATAGCCATGTTCAAATATATAAAAGGATGTCATATAGAGGAGGGAGAAAGGTTGTTTTCTGCTGCTCCAGAGAAGCGGACACGGAGCAATGGATCCAAACTACAAGAAAGAAGATTCCACCTAAACATTAGGAAGAACTTCCTGACAGTAAGAGCTGTTCGACAGTGGAATTTGCTGCCAAGGAGTGTGGTGGGGTCTCCTTCTTTGGAGGTCTTTAAGCAGAGGCTTGACAACCATATGTCAGGAGT